CATTAGGTCTTTGTTTTCTATGTGGGAATACACTGTATAAATAAAAAACATTCCAAACTTAAACACCAGTTTCTCTAGATGTTTCCATCATAATTGCTGCTGTCAACTTCTCAGAAAGGAAGGCTAGACAGATCATCTCTACTCTCTTTTTTTTTTTTATTGGAGAACCTTAACTGTGACCTAAATTCTTCATATTAATGTTCACTTTTATGCAAAATTTTTTAGTTCTTAAAAAAATAATCTTAAAACATGTGTCATGTTTGTCAATCATCTAGATTCTTCTAATGGTAGATTAGGCCAGCTAATTGCAGCAGACTATGCCTGCCTGTTCATTTTTATCGTTATAACTTCACAGGCCTATTTTTTTCCTAGCTGGTCCTTAGTGAGGTTTCTCCATGTTTCTGATGTAGGGCTTTTCCAAATACTGCTGTTTGCACTACTAGATATGTGTAAACCATATCAAAGTAATACAAACACATTCAATTGACTTTTCTTCCAAAGAAGACAAGATATTGTTGTGAAGTCATTGATCAAGCAGTTGCAAATTTCTCTTCTGCTGCTTCCCTAACCTTTCCATGAGAGGAGACACTGGGGCTGGAGGCCCAAGGAGAGTCTGACACTCCATAGTCACAGTTTAAGAATTCACCTAGTTGATGTCAGTGCCTACTATGGAATTTCTTACCTAGTGGTTAGGGTGTTTCTCACTGACTCTGGTCCTGGGAAGGGTGAACTACTACTTGTTCCTATGCATAAATTAAAAGGCAAGAGCATAAAAGGCAGATTGAAGTTACTTTTTCCAGTGCATTTTTTTTTAGTGGTGAATTTTATTTGCCTTGAAGCTGCCTTTCCCTAGTTTTGATACAGCACCTGGAGTTTTTCAGCATCTCACCACATTTTTATGACTTCTTCAAATTCTGTCTCTTCTCTGTTTTCCCCAGATAATGTGTACAATTTATTTCTAATAATTATAAATAAGATAGGTAATTTATCCATATTCTTTTTTTTTTTCCCAGTTTCTTAGCCTGTATGTGGCAAAATACTATCTGTTCCTAGGTTACAGTTTTGGTATTTCATATACTTCTAGTGGGCAATGATTTTTTGTTTTTTAGTCTGTATAACCAAGATTTTTGTCTTGGGTTTCCCAATGAAGAATGACATTGAGTCATTATTAGCATTTGGAAGAAGGTGATAAGTAATTGTCCACATGCCATGAACAATGTACAGCAAATGAGTTCTTTATACTGACCTGGGAATGTCAATAGTATTGTTAAATTGCATGTCTTACTAGGAGCATAAGAAGCAACAAGCCATAAGTGACAAAAAATCTTTGTTAAATAAGAAGGAGGATTCTGTGATGTGGATAAAGTGAACATCTGGGCAGCCAAAGGAGTATGACAAAATAATTAAGGAAAAAAATGAAAAGAGGGTGTAAAAGAGACTAGAGACAACATTCTTGGTATGGCAAATGCAACAATTATTTCATTATGCAGAAAATAAGTGCTATGTAAAAACTAGTAAGTTAGGATCTGAAGTATTTGTCATCGTGTGACAAAGTCTAGGCAGAAAGCGGGTACCACTGAATGAATTGGAGACAACACACTATCGTGCCCCAGTGCAAGGGGAATGATTGGCTAACATATGGGGAGTGTAGAAGGGCTTATCCCTATTTTGCTTCCAGTTCTAATTCAGCCACAGTTGAAAAGGTTACCTCGTTGCAGAAAACAGTGGTTTCCTTTTCAAAGGATGGTATGCACAACCTCAAAGTACAGGTGTCGTGTTTAACTGAAAAATGAAACATGCAAAAAGAAGAAAAATTATGCTACTAATGTGAATTGTTCTACTTTGTTAGGACACCAGGCCTGGACATCACAGACAACAGAAGGTCAAGAGATCTCTGGGAAACAAAAAGTATGTGAATGTTTCTTGTCTAGTTTGACTGAGGGCAAGAAAAAAGCTGACAGGTTCCTATTGGAAAACCATATCTGGTCTTTACATAATATTCTGAATTTTAAGAGCTGCAATGATTTTGGTTCGTGTGATGAGTGTCTCAACTGACTTTGCTTATTGATTTGTAGGAAAAGTGCTTTTCTGACACTTCAAGGGGTATTAGCTTTCATTTATTGTTTTTAAAAGGATTTTAACACTGGGAAGATAACTACTGTATGTTCAAGATCAAGTGGTGTTCCAAAATCTATGTATTTTGAGTGTGATTGCAACTGAAAGGCTTTAACTTGATAATTCCTCTCCCCATCCTTCTGCAGTACCTCCTTAAACATAGTATGTAATGATCTGACCTGGTACCATCAGTGTCTCCCACTTACTGATTCTTGGATTGATGTATTAAAACATGCGAGCCCCACAGCTCAGGGTGTGGGAGGTTGTTGCTGGGATGGCCATCACAGTCATCATTCAAGCAACCTACTAATTTCATTTCGTGAATTGTGGTGGCAATGGGATATGTTGAAAAGTGTTTCTGTTTTCTGTTCTTTCCTCTTAAATTAATGATATTTGCCCAGAGAATAGATACGCTCTGTTTCTTTGACACCTAATAATTTTGCTGTCATGTACAGTAGTGTAAATGTCCAGGCATTTCAGAGATGTGAGAAATATTTGAGAATAGTGAAGCAAAGAGTCCCCCTGATCTCTAGCATCAGCAAAATCAGTGCTGCTGGCTATCTAAATTAGTTTTAATGTAGTGTAATTTGTAGGATATACTCTAAGGCTGTCTTCATTGCTGAAAGCCTTGCTGGTTAAAATTCTTACTAGCATTAGGTCTTTTATTTGTATAATGTCAGCTCTGACTCTGGGACTACATACTGAAGGAGATCTTGCCCTTTGTGGGATAGAAAGGTCTCTTTTGTAATGATGAGCTGCAGAAGAATTCTTGTGTTCCACATTGGTTGCTTAAGGATAAATGTGTATTTTAAAATTGAGATTAACTTGTGCCTGCTTCTTAAGTTGAAGGTTTGAGGTAGGATGAATGTTTTTCTGTTCCTCTGGAGTAGCTTTCTAATGTCGTTCCCTAAAAGATGTACTGAAAAATAACATAATGTTTTATCTTGCTGGCACTTTTCAGTTCACAAAACTCAGGAGATTCAATGAACTGTGAGATGATTTTTTAGAGTACTTGGGAAGATGAAAGGGATGTTGTCTGTCAAGTTATTGTGGTTGTGTGTGTATGTATGTGTACATACACCTAGGATTTCAAGTTGATATTTTCCAGGTCTAAGCAATTTGAGGAGGTGGAAACTACTGTCCTAGGACTGAACAGTAACTATGATGAGGCAGTCAGCAACATTTCTTCTGCCTCACCGAAAGGTCAAGTGAATGGAAGTGCAGAGTCCAGAAGCAAGCGGACTATTCGCAGGCCTGCTTACTGGTTGGAAATGAGAGGAATAAAAAACAGCATAAACAAATCTTCAGGAAAAAAAGGTACTCATCACTCTTGACTCAATGCTAAACTGTTTTCTCTCTGGTTCTTTTATGAGAGATTAGATGACTTCTGAAAGATATGCTGCAGGTTCAGCCACAAATTACAGGCTTGGTAACGCTGTTCATGTATTAGGAGAAATAAACTTCCTCTACTGCAGAAGCATAGGTAAAATTCTCTGATGTTACGCAGTTCCTTCTGAGTGACTTGTCTATTAAAATTAATGATTCTGTGACTGAACTCAGTTTTATCTGTAGAAGAAATATGTATAAGGGTTCTGCCAATCATATCAGGAATATCCTTTGAGAGCTTTAAAAATAGAACAAACAACAATAAAGTTGTAGAAAAGGGGACCATTCAACAGTATTCTTGAGTGGACATGGCTTTTGTGGTTGGTAGATTTATTTTTTTTTAAGGATGTTTTTATTTCTGTTATTTTTACACTTCTGTCACTTAATGATTTTCTGATTTGGAGTGGTTTGGGGCTTATTTTGTTGTAGGAACATTCAGATTTCCTGGCCTAGGAGCTGTTTTCCAAACTTCTTGTGTGGCAGAGAGCAAAAACTTTGCTGCTTTTTAATGCACTTTCTTCTTATCTCTAAATCAGAATCTGTATTCCATCCTATTGTGGGGAGAGGCAAATCTGGTATTTTGATAGAAGCAAGGTTGCTGCAGCTCCACAACTCCAGGTCCAACCAGTAGCAAGACTAAGCGTGTATTCCTGTAGGTATAAACACATATATATAACATGTACACACAGCCAGCCACACAGATCAACACAAAGAGGTGCGCTCAGCACTCACGCAAACAGCACCAATGGCCTCCATCCTGTTTCCCTCTCTGGCTGATCAGGATGAAGATGTGTTAGTGAGAGAAAAGAAGCATATATAAAAATATATATATAAAAGAAGTATGTGTATGTTTGTATGTGCACACATATGTGCAATGTCAATCTCTCCTGTAGCTGGACTTAAACACTCAGTCTCCTCAGCATCTGGCCTTTGGATCCCAGTCTCCTCAGTTGCTGGTATGTGGATGTACTAGTCCCTGAGGCCTGCAGCGCCATGCCAGTTGCTGGTGTAGACCTCCTTACAGACTTACACTCGCAGACACTACTGTCCCCTGGTTCCTCTGATTTGGTGTCAGGCATGACCAGACTTGTATACTGACCAACCACCTGTTTACAAGCAAGTGTCCCCTATTATCCTCTACACCTCTATTTTCCCCTACTTGATCCTCCCCAAGTCAGCTAATTCTCTCCCTTTTCCTTTGTTTGATACCACTCCTAAACATCTCAGCTTCTGTAATCCTGAATTGTTCTTCACCAGTATCCCACGTGTCACATAACCCTAGGCATTAACACCACACACTCCTGTCTCACCACTTCCTCCCTTCCCCCTTCCAAAGGGCGCTCCAGAGAGCGGCTCCCATAGACTCATGCTTGTGGGTCTTCTGGGACAGACCTGGGAGGAAGGTGTGTGTTTCTTTGAGTCCATAATTTGTGTTTCCCTGTCTGCCATTGTGCTTCTGTACTTCTCTGTGTTCATGGAGATAAGCCTTTAATAGGCCTGGAAATAGTGAGGGGAAGCAGGATATTATTTGGGTTTCCTCAACTGCTGCTGTTTCTCTGTGCTCCTTTTTGTGTGTGTGCAGATGAGCTTTTTATGACATAACCTAGTACATTCTGGCTCTCTTCCTGAGGAGTATTATTTTCCCAGACTATGCTGTGGCACTGTTTCTTCCGTATCTTCTCTGTTGGAGGATTGGAGGCTGTGGAGTGCCTAAATGTAACTGGGTCGAGAGGCTCTGTCTAGCTCACTGGTGTCCAGGTGCCTTACAAAAACTACTTTCTTCTTTTTTCTTCTTTTTTTTTTTAAAGTATTGAATACGAGGATAAGCTGAGGCAGCAGCAGACTCAAAGCTGTTATCCGGACTTAATAATGAGACTAAAGCATTTCTGTTCTTACTCATTAGCAGGAGAAGTACTATTGAAAGGCAAGAGGAAATCTGAGCAAGAGGAAGGCGAAGATCTTAAAGACTCTCCCAAGAAGAAGCAGAAGATTTCGGGTAATACAAATAACTTGTAATTCCTAGTTACAAGCCTCCAGGTACTTTGGACTTCCTCTCTGCCCAAACGCTATCCTGTGCTGTCTTCCAACTCTGTTTCTGGGTTATTTTGTTATAGGAGACTGTTGACTAGTTTCTGGTTTACAGTGGGAGATGATTGTTCTAATTTCAGTCTCTCTTAAAAGTCCCATGAAAGGAGGGAGGAAAGGAAGTAGGGGAAGTATAGGCTAGTCTGCTTTCTTTCAGTTTCCCAAAAGATTCTGGACTAAATAATCAGACAAATTACTTGTAAACATCTCAGATTAATTAGTAGGTGATAACAGCAGTATGGGTTTGTTAGAGAAATCAAACCCAAGCACTTTAATTTTCTTTTAGCACAGAGACAGAGGGGGGAAATGCTTGACATCATAGGTCTTTCATGCCTTCAGAGGGTTGTTAATCAGTTGTTAGGTGCAAAAGTGATGAAAGTAGGAGCAGGTGACACAGGAGGAGTATACATTTGCTGTCCAGTCTTGCAAGGATAAGGTTAGGAAAGCCAAGGCCAACCTGGAGCTGAATCTAGGAAGGGATGTGAAAGGCAACAAGAAGGGGTTCTACAAGTACATGAACAGCAAAGGGAAGACTAGGGAAAGCATGAGTTCACTGCTGAACAGGACAGGGGAACTGGGAACAAATGACATGGAAAAGACTGAGGTACTCAGTGCTTTCTGTGCCTCGGTCCTTCAGGAATCCCAGGCACCTGAGACCAGAGGGAAAGTCTAGAGCAAGGAAGCCTTACACTCAGTTAAAGAGGACAAGCTTAGAGCACTTAAACCAAATATACCTAATCATTTATCGGCAGTCGTGACTAACCGAGGAGGTCCCATTTGACTGGAGGTTAGCAAATATGACACCCATCTACAAGAAGGGCTGGAAGGAGGATCTGGGGAACTACAGGCCTGTCAGTCTGACTTTGGTGCTAGGGAAGGTTATGGAGCATATCATCTTGAGTGCCGTTATGTGGCACATACAGGACAACTAGGTGATCAGGCCCAGTCAGCGTAGGTTTATGAAAGGCAAGTCCTGCTTGACTAACCTGATCTCCTTCTATGACAAGGTGACCTGCTTAATGGATGAGGGAAAGGCTGTGGATGTTGTCTATCTGGACTTTAATAAAGTCTTTGACACCATTTCCCACAGCATTCTCCTGGAGAAACTGGCTGCTCATGGCTTGGACGAGTGTACACTTCACTGGGTAAAAAACTGGCTGGATGGGCTGGATGCAAAGAATTGCGGTGAATGGAGTTAAATCCAGTTGGTGGCCAGTCACAAGTGGTGTTCCCCAGGGCTCAGTATTGGGACCAGTTCTGTTTAATATCTTTATCAATTATATGGACAAGGAGATCGAGTGCACCCACAGTAAGTTTGCAGACAACACCACGTTGTGCAGGAGTGTTGATCTGCTTGAAGGTAGGAAGGCTCTACAGAGGGATTGGACAGGCTGGATCGATAGACCAAGGCCAGTTGTATGAGGTTCA